GTTGGTTCAGGTAAGCTTTTATCTTTCAAGATTGGGTCGGTTTTCTGTGGTCGGCCTGCGGGCTCTTCTGATCGGTTTCCTGGAGAGTGGTGAAGGGGGGTGGGTGTTCGGATCTCTGCCGATTTCTCTGCTTTCTTCCCCTTTCCTCCGTTGGTGGGTCTGGGGAGGACCATTGTTCTGTCCTCCGGCCAGTGGTGATGGCAGAGGCGGGGCTGTGGTGGGCGTAGGATTGCGGCGGATTCGGTCGGGTGGATGGTGCCTCGGTTGTACGACGGCGATGTCGGACAGCCGGAGCTCCGCTGCGCTTCCATTCTTCTTCCCTTTTCCTTTGGTTTTGGGTCTGGGGTGGACCATTGCTCTGACCTCTGGCCAGTGGTGATGGCAGAGGTGGGGCAGTGGTGGGTGGTGGTTTGTGGCGGCTTCGGGTGGTCGGAGACGTGGCTGCAGCCTTGGCATCTTTGTGGTTCGAGGGTTTATTACCGGGTTTGGTTGGACTCACTAGTAGTCTTAGTGGGCCCGGTCATGTGGTGGTCCTGAGGCATCTTGGGTGTTGAGGTCGTGGTTCGAGTTTGATTTCAGATGTTGTTCTGGGGCTTGGGATTTGACTTCGTTAGGCCACTGAGTTGGTGATTGGGCAGTTTTGGGTCGGTTCTCTTTGGTTGTGGGACTTATTCTGGATCGACTCAGTATCCATCGGCTCTGCTTGGTTTCGCTGCTTTGGAAGGGCTTGTTTTCTTTTGCTTAGTGTTTTTTTGTTTTGTGGTTTTTTTGTTTGTTAGTTTTGTCTGTGATTGTTTGTTTAGGGCATGTATTTTTGGTTTGGGCCGTTGGCCCTTGTGAGCCTGAGTGTCATCTTATTATCCCATTGGGATCAGACACTCGGTTATTATCCTGGTGGGATCTTTTTTAGTCTTTTGTTTGTGTAGTTGTTGGTGTGTAGTTAGTCTAGCTTTGCTAACGGCGGATTTCTAGGCGGTCTTCTGACCTGTCCTTCATTTTTTCAGCCGTTGGCTGCTGTGTATTTGTGTATTCACACGTTTGTGCACTTTGATTTATAATATCATCTANATTCATGTATTGCATATAAAATTTATATTGGTTATGCAATTGACATATATAAAAGAGAAAATACATTAAAAATAAAATAACTGTGAATCCTATATCCCCTCCTCATAGAACATGGACTACCATTTATTTTAATGTTTCTCTTTACATCATCTATAATATACTTTAAAGTAAGAGCCCTTCTCGCATCGGAGGCCCATGCCTTTCTCATGTGTATCTCTTCTCTGGAGGAGTGATTTGTTGAACATATTTTGAATTTCAATAAATGCCCATAATAAATACAACATTTCAGGTTATAAATGTAAATTTTATATTAACAATAGTCACTTACATTATATATTAATAAGTATTCTTAAATAATATATTTAAAAATTTGTAACAATAACCAATTAATATATACAAGTTATTATATATTTAAAGTTTCATTAGTATGTACAAGCTTCAATTATAAATATGTGTCTTTAATAAAAAGAGAAAAAAAATTGTTTTCCTTTTCATATTTTGATGAATATATCTATTAATACATTACTTTTTTTTCCATAAATTATGAATTTTTTATATGTATATAATTGAAAATTATTATAAATTAACAAGGGAATGTAAACGTAAAATCTATCCTGAAACGACGTGGCTGTGTGAATTGAGAAAGTGTTGATTATAATCATAATTAAATTTTGGACCCATATGTTTTGAATAATACTCTGGATTTTACGATTTATATTTTCTTTTATATGCTTGAAAGATGAATAAAAAACAACAATATATATTTTGATAGTTAATATATAGTTAAATATTTGTTCATTTTGTAGTTTTTGTAAAAGGGAATTATCTTTATATGTAGTTATTTTGGTTTGTTTTGTTGTTGTTATAGTAAAAAAAGACTTATCATTTTGTGTCAAACTTGTGTTGCAAAGATTTTTAATTTCGAAAAACATTTTTATTCTTCAAAAAATTAAATATAATTTCAAGTTATTCTTACAAATTTAATAGAATTATTTTCCTACTTATCTGTACATTGAAAAATTCGTTGATACGATAATTAGTATACTACTATATAACCCCTTGTTAATAAGAATTAACATTAAATAATAGACCATTTGTATATAATAAATAATTAATAATAAGTTAAATGAATTTATTTTAACCGATAAATTTGGTTCGTATTATAAAATGATAAATGGTGTACAACAAAGTAAAAAAAAATAATTGAACAAAATATTATAGATTCATCAACATGTCTTGCTAAGTTTTAGTTATTTATTATATTTATAATAAAACAAAGTATAACAAAGTAATTAAACTGATATTTCAAATTCACAATATTAAAGCAACAAACTCTATATTAACATTATCAATTAAATAAAATTTAAGTTTCTATATATAAAATTCGATTACATCATTAAATCTCATTTACATGTTTGTGTGTGTGTGTGCATGTATATATGTATATATTCAATTTTATAATATTAGATTAATCTAAATTAGGCATTGGGATTTTTAAGTTTTTTAGTTATAAACTTTAATTTAGTTATTTTTGTGACTAATTACCCATTTAATTAGTTGAAATTTTACAAAAGTTAGTCAGTCGCAATCATTTGATCATAAAATTTACTCTCAAGTACAAAACAGCAATTGAATATTAATAATATGGAAATTTCAATTTATAACCCTTTATTTTTTAAGTGAAAATTCAAATATAATCCACCAAAATAATTATTTTTTATTCTTAAACTATTTAGTAAAATTATTTGTTAATAAGATTGTGTACCGTACTTATAATTTATGCAAATAATTTTAGATATAAATAGATCAAGGGAAACAAATGTATGTAAAATTATGTCATTATATTTAGAAAGATAACATAGATACATTTAGAAGATACAATTAGTAAATGTCAATTGAATTATGAATTTTTTATGTCATCAATAAAGGATTTACTTGGTATGATAATTAGCCAAATTTAAAACTTAAAGGGAATATTACATAAAATAAAATAACTAATTTAATTTAAAATTAATTAACCACAATGATACTGGAAGAAATAAAGTATCATTATCTATTAATATATAAAGAGTCAATGATATTTACTAGAAATAGCAACTAAAAATCAGCAAAAAAACATTTGGTTTCCAGCATAAAATATTTACTATATTGAGTAATATTTCTTACCAAAATTTGAAAAATCTCGCCTAAATTAATATACAGAATCATTTTGGTCGAATATTGCGGCTATTACCTTTATTAGTTGCATGATTCAAATTTGAAATATAATATATTGACAAAACTTGCAGCTATTGCCTTTATTAGTTGCATGGTTTAAATTTGATATATAATATATTGAAAAAAATAAAAAGATATTTATATAAATTTAAAAATAAAAACTAATTATTCATGACTTACGGGTCAATATTAACTTGGACGTAAAAGAAATAGTCAATTATTTATAGTTTAATAAATTACTCAACTACTTAATTTTTTTTATTTGAATTGTTTATACAATAATAAATTATTTCAAGTAATGAAACAATATAAATTTTATATTTATACTTCCTATTCACATAGGTTGTTAAATATGTGATAACATTTTACCAAAATAACTATTTTATGGAATCACATATAGTCAAATCGATTTTTTTAATAAAAATTTTGAAATGATACTTATATTGAAACGAATATAATGTAATTTATTATCAGTTATGTGCACCATACGGGATGTACACTAGTTTTAAATAGATATTTCTATGTAATTTTGCACAATTTAAACTTGATTATAACAATTTCAATAAATTAATATAGGTAAACTGTATTACATATTGATTTCATACTTTTAATTTATAAATATTATTTAATAAGAATTTTTAATTTATAAATATTAATGAATATCTCTTACCCATGCACTGCACGGGGCTCATATTAGTTCAAATAGAACAAAGATAAATGAAGAGCGAGAATACTATTCAAAAAAATAATAGCATTATCAAATGACCAGTATGTGGGACGGCCCCACATAGAGCTGTCCCATTGGCTGTACGTAGCCAACAGTTGGCTATTTAGCTTTACTGTATCAAAAACTATTTCAAATGATAATAAAGACGATCAATAATGCTAAGGAGCCAACTGTTGGCTTCATTATGGAGCCAACAACCAATGAGATAGCTCCATGTGAGGCTGTCCCACATTAGACTCATGTGGGACAGCCCCACATAGAGCTGTCCCATTAGTTGTTGGCTCCATAACGGAGCCAACAGTTGGCTCTATAGCATTATTCTAAAGACGATATTGAGATTCTAATTAAAATATATGTTGAAACATTTAACATTATAAAAGTAGGACATAAAATTATAAAAAATACACTGTAATCTAAGATGACAAGTGAGATAAAAATTAAAAACTATATCCTACAATTTAGGATGGCAAATCACGATTGTGATTGCAGAAAATATTCACTAATGAAAATCTTTTGCAGTTTTGCATAA